CTTTTCTTTTCTAATTTTTATATTTAATTGTTTTAAACTTCAAAACATCATAGAAAATTCATTTTAAGTCCAAAAAATTTGAAAAAATTATGAAAAATATTTTTGATTATTCTCTTTTTGATTTTGATTTTTTCACAATTTAATTTTGTGTTTTGGTATTTTTTATAAATTTTCACTTTATTTGAATTGTTTTAAGTGTTTAAAAATACTTTTATGTATTTTTAAATTCTGAAAAAATTATGGAATGATCCAATGATATTGTGACAAATATTGGTGACCTTATTTTATTTTTGTTTCTGACTTTGTTATTTTTTTATCATTTTTGGTTTATTTTACTCATTTATTTTAATTTCAAAAAATAGTTTATGACTTTAAAAAATTACCAAAAAATTTATAAAATCATTTGAGTCCCTTTCTAATTTTTCTATGGTCTTACTTTTTATTTATTGATTAATTAGAACATAATTGATATTTTTCTCTTTTATTTCTATTTTTAAACATTTTTTAAAACCTTTTTGTATATATTAAAATGTAATATTATTTTGTGACTATTTTTTGACTGATCTTGGGTTAAATTTTTGATCATGAACTTTATTAACATCATTGGATTCATGGTGTTGAGTCTAAATCTACAAAAATGGATGAATGATTTTAATAATAGTTTGATTAAATTTAATTCAAAAGTGGTTTGTATATTCTCTCCCACCCCTCTTCATCTCATTCCTTTCTTATTTCACTAAGTGTTATTGGAGCATGATCTCTATATCATGTCTCAAAACAAATGGTGCATAAATTGCTATTGACCGATCTCAAAATAGGTGCGACTTCTATATAAGTCCACTTACGATTGCTTAACATAGCGCTAAATTTTGTCCCGATTCGAATAAATGATCATTTATGGCCCAAACTTATGTTTGCAAGCCCAATTATGTTAATTTGATCTCTTTGATCCAATAACCTTGAGATTCATTGTGTGGAGGCTTTGGTTCTACCAATCCTCTAATGGATCTACAACACCTTTGGTCAATGCGGATCACTTAAACATTGTTGATCATTAAATGGTACTCATAAGGATTCCAAATGGATGATATACTTGACAAAAAGCAAATGCAACTTGTTGTATGGAGGCTTTGGTTCTACCAATCCTCTAATGAGTTCCAAATGCAAGTTTCAAGATGATCATCCAACTAAACACTAATCACTAATAATTAACTTTATCCTTTATTTTTTATTATATGCCCTTTTATTTTATACACTATTTACTTTTAGCATTTACATTTCATGTCATCTTCATCTTTGCTCATTTGAGTATTTACTTTCTTGTTATTTTTATATTTGCTCACTTGAGTTTTACTTTTCTTTTTAAAACACCTAATAATCAACATAAACTCTAAAAATCTTTAATGATACTTGGACTATTTGGTTACTATCCTTGGCATTATGGAGCATTGGATTTTTTGGACTTAGGATTAGAAACCTTGGCCTATGATTGAAGACCTCGTGATCTTATCTGATTATTTTGTTTGGAGCTCTTGAGGTTTACCTCAAGACATTGGATTATTTGTTTGTTTTGTATGCAGGTTATTGTGATTACACCCTTTGTTTTTAATATGGAATTCACCCGTATACAGCCATTACTCTGCCCAATTTTTGTGAAGACTTAATACACTTGAAGTTTGATTCTCTCAAGAGGTCTAGTATTTTTGCTTGTTTGGTTTCAATACAAAGAATGAGAATTCTATCTTGGATCATAGTGTCAAGTATTGGCTTCTTGTTGGTTAGATGGTTCTTATCTCTAGCTTTTACCTTATGCTTTAGGATAGCCTCTTCTTCTCCTCCCATCTTCTTTAATTTCAAAAATATTCTCCCTCCTTTTGAAAACTTTTCTTGTTTTAAACTTGAACCACTTTTATAATAAACTTGGACTTAGGTCCATGCATTTTCAAACATTTTTATAAATAAACTTCAATAAACTTAATAATACTTTGACATTTTTTTGTGAGAAGACTAAAAATCAATCAATCTCATTTCAAACCATTTTGCCACTTTGACTTTTATCTTTAAACTTTTGTCAAAAGATTGAACTCTTGTCAATCCTTGTAGTGATGCAAACAACTATACTTCTACAATATATAGTGAAGAGAGATATTTTCCACTTGGGTCTTGAGTGAGACATTGTTGATTCTAAAATCCAAGCCATATCCTCTACTTTGAGATGATGCAAATTCTCCTTTCTCATGATTGTGGGTAGTAGGTATGTTTTCCACACAGACAATGACGATGATATTTTATCTCATAAAATTAACCAACACATTTGTGTTTTAAAATTTTTAAAAGAGGAACTATGTGTACCTTGATCCCCTATTGCACGAAAAGGTGGTACGTAGGCACTAAAGGTTCACAACCGCGACGTGTGCAAAAAACCATAAAAATATATTTCTTTTCTCACCTCCACCATCCATTTTTATACAAAATTTTTCATAGCCAAAATATACAGATTTTACAAAGAGGTTCATGCGGAGTACCGTAGATTTTCAGGGTGCTAATACCTTCCCTTTGCATAACCAATCCCCTTACCTTGAATCTTTCCCCCTCTTTTTTGGGTTATTCTCTCTTTTCCTATTCCTTTGGAAACAATAAAGCGCAGTGGCGATTTTTATTTTGATTTGTATAAGTCTAGTCAATCTAGTGACTTAGTCTTAAATATTTCTACCGCTACAGTTGTGACAAGTGTTAAATTAAAAAAAAATGAAAGGTGCATAATGAACATATATTACATCGCCCTGTTATGCCGACTAAGGTGGCTAAGGAATTCACTAGTATTCAAGGAAACTTCTTGTGGGGGGGGGGGGGGGGGTATGGAGGACAAGAGAAACGTTTATTGGATGAGTTGGAAGAAAGCGTGTCTTTCGTTTGATAAGGGAGAGTTAGGCATAAAAAATTTGGTGGATTTTAACTTAGCTCTCCTAAATAAATAGAGATGGAGAATTTTACAAGGTCTTGGATCCCTTTGGTTTAATTTGTTGAAAGCTCGTTATGGAGATGTTTCAATGATGGTTTTTTGTGGAGGAGAAAGTAATAAAGCTTTTTTTTTTCATTCCACTTGGTGGAAGGATACATCAAGATTGTCTCTCTTTCTCAAAAATATCCTATTGTGGTAAATTGCGGGTTTAAAATAGGGAAAGATTTTACAACTCCTTTTTGAAAATCTAGATGGATTGGGGAGATTTACTTAAAGGATGAATTTCCAGGTTTATATGAGGAATCTAGTTTGAAAAGAGTTTCATTTGCTTGTATGGGAGGAAGGAGGGACGATGAGTGGTGTTGGGGAGACTAGGGTTTAAATAGGACGGTGTATGAGAATTTGAGTTTGCGGTCAGATTTGATATCCCTTCAAGAGAGGTTCACGGGTCATAGTGTGGGGTTGGTGGGCAAGGATGTAGTGGAGTGAGCCTTGGCTCCGGATAGTATGTATTCAATTTCTAGTTGTTATGATTTTTATGCTAGCTTTTGAATACTGTTTGACCCTTCTAATAGGTATGACGGTGTGTTGGACATGGTGTAGAAGATGGACGTGTCATTCAAGATTAAAGCCTTTGGTTAGAGATTTTTTGTCAATAGACTTCCAACAAAAGATCTTTTGTTGTATAGAGGGGTGGTATTTTCTATTGAGTGTTTAAAGTGTGCTTTATATGGTGTAGTTTTAGAGAATAGAGATCATATTTTTTTCAAGTGCAATGTAGTGAAGGTTATATGGAGGGAAATAGCCTTATGGGTGGGCATGTCAGAGGAGAAGGAGGAATAGTGTTTTTCGAATTTTATGGATTGATACTTATTTTATAAAAACAAGAAGGTCAAAGAGGGTAAATTAGAGTTGTTTGGTTAGCAACTTCGTGGACAATTTGGTTACTGCGGAACAATACTTGTTTTCGGAATGACGAGTGGAATATTAAAATTTTGGTTTTAAGGTGGACTTTTATATGAGATATTATTCACCCTAATTGTAGTCTTTATGAGTTTACCAAAGATCCTTTGTTATTCTTGTCATAAGACCAATGGATTTGTAATTTCTCTCTTTTGTTGGGATTTCCCGTTCTATGTGTAAAAAGGTTGGAGAACCCTTAATTCTCTCTTATATATAATCCCTTGCTTACATAAAAAAAACCAATCTATTACGTGACCACAGTAAGAAATGATTATGAAACTTTTTTTGTAATAGTGAAGATTTGTGTGTCTGTTTGTTTTAGTGGCTATTGGGTCGCACTCTCATCTTTTGGGACTTGTGATGCAATGATGACTTCAAAGGATGTCGGAGACATGAGCAATCTTTTAGTGTGAGAATGATATCTTCATAAGTTTAAAGATAGATAGATCTTGTACTTTTTAAATCTGTTGTGAGAATCATATTATACATCTGAATCAATAGTGGTTTGAGTATCTTCTACCTTTCTTTGAGAGTGTTTTTGATATGAGTGTTCGATTTTTTTTTTGTAGTTGCTTCGTTGGAGAGATAAGTGTTCAATTTTTTATTTAGTTCCTTTGTCTTTGGGGGGAGTTTTTGATGTTTAGGTGGAGATAAGTAAATGTTGTTCCTTCTAATTTGTTAAAAAACATTTAATATCACTAATGAAGATAACTTTTTTAATTAACTATATTCATGGTCAAAGTGTCATATCTCTTGGTGTCGGTCCAACATATAGAACTTAAGAGTTTATAAAATTAAATAAATTTATGAGCAGATAGTTTTTCAGTCCTGAGCACACGATGATAAGGTTATTGCAATGACAAATTAAATGTGAAAGGAACATATGGTCTTTGTATATATAAAAATGATAAAGAAGTATGACTTTGTAACAGTATGATATAAAATAAATTATTACAAAAGCAGAAATAGTATTCAAAGGAAAAGAAGGAACATGAGAGAGAAAAAAATTAAGAAATAGTGAGTGGACCCAATGTGTTGAATTGAGTTGCAGTTGACAAATACGATAAGCAGGTAGCTAGTTATTGAGGTTGTTGATTCCTTTGCTTGGTCCAGAAGGAGGAACTGGCCCCTTAGGAAGCATGTTCAGGATCAATGGCCTGTTTACTTTTCCACCGCTTACTACTAACACGTGTCCTCTCTTTTCCGGTATCACTCTATTGCTGGGAAGTATGAGGTTGGAGGTGGCTGAGAGCTGGCTGAAATCATTCAAGGGCCTAGCAAACGATGAAGAAGATATCAACAAAATCAGCAAAGAAAGTAGTAGTGTCGCTGCAAGGTGCTGGTTTCTGTGTAGGTATACCATTATCAACCGAGGGAAACAAGTTTCTATATGATGAGTTTGTTGTAGCCAGCTAAGATGAGAAGAAAAGAGATGGCAGGTTTAAATTTTGTTGATCTGTGTGTGGTGAGGTTTGGTTTATGTAGATACTTATATAATATGATGGAGAAGAGAGTAAGAGAAATAGCATGGAAATTATCCTTATTAAATTCCATGCCATGCCAACTTGGTTTACTGGGTGGAATTTGTTGACAAAGTCAGAACAAAGAATATATACTACTGGTCAAGGAAATAGAATCACAGTTCCATATATATAAGGTTTGAAACCATGCTGAACTAGTCAATAAACTATAGTAAGACAATGAAGCTAAATTCATATACTAGTATACTCACTAGACTTCAACTTACAATCTTTTTAATGCGTTTTTAATTTGGAAAGAAAATTTCTAAATTAAAAATTGGGCCGTCTTGTAAAAATATATATTAATATATATATATATATTGAAACCATGTTTGCATCTGTACTCTTTGACCATGAATTGGATATGAACTTGTTTATGAGTAAACTGTTTTATGATTTATGCTATTTAGAAGTTGAAATTACAAATTAGTACTTTTTTAGTTTGAAAGAAAACAGCATGAAGAGTGGAGTGTTTTGTTTTGTGAGTGTGAAAGATAGAAGTCAGTGTTGACTGACTACAATGGATGGTGTTTGCACAGCACAGCACAGCACAGCCATGACACACTATTGTCACAATTTCCACCTTGCTTCCTCTTGACTATATTTGGCAAGCTCCATTATCCACAATTTATTTTTCAAACCAAAAAATATCTTCTATAAGTAAAAATCAATCTTGCTTTTATTCATTTTTTAAACCCTCTATTTTAGTATTTTAGTTTTAATAAGGTTTTATTCTCATTAAAAGTCAGACATTCAATTTTTTATTTTAATAGGGTGTCTCATTAATATGGCTCATTAATATGGCTCATGCATAAGAGTGGCAAACGGGCATATCCGTCCTGTTTAAATCCGCTCCATAAAAATCCGTAAAAAAATATGACGGGACGCAACTGATATAGTTGAGGAAGAGGGCATAAAATTTATGACCGTCCCACAAAAAAGTGAATGCGGGGCGGTAAAATCCGCAGACACTGCATCTTTTAAGCCTAAAATACAAAAATTTATGCTAATGTTCATGCCTGCAAAAGCCCGCGAAAAAAACGGGGTGGACCACCTTAGAGGGTGATGGCTTAAATTTTTGATCCGCCCCGCACTAAAGTGCAGGTAAAACGGGAATGTCCAACGGACCGAGCCCATTTTGCCATCCCTACTCATGTAAGACTTTCATTTTGAACATTATTAGAAAAATAGTATTTAAAGTCGGCCGATACTATACGTTAAAAGTAAAAAAATTGACGTTAATGTAAAAATAGCGTCGGCATAGCGTCGGTGTCGGACAACTAAAACACTTAAAGCTAAACTTTAGTATTGACCAAAAAAAGTCATGTCAAAATAGCCTATGCTTAATTGAGTCTAGGCCGACGTTAACTTAAAGTCAACACTAAAAAAAAAATTCTAAAAGTCTACAAAACTATAGCTTCAACCTAACTAGCGCTAAAGTCAACAAAACTAAGTAACTTTGGCTTAACCGACGCTAAAGTCAAATTTTTAAAGTCAATAAAATAAATTGACTTCCGTCTAACCGACGCTAAAATCAACTTATAAAGTCAACACATGATTTTAGTGTCGATGCAACGGAGGCTAAAGTTAAACTTTGAAAGACAACAAATTAAGTTAGTTTTAGCCTCACCGATGCTAAAGTCAAACTTCTAAAGCCAACAAAATAATATAGCTTCGACCTAACAGACTCTAAATTCAAACTAATAAAGTCAACATAGGTTAGCTCTGATCTGACTGACGCTTAAGTTAACAAAATATTTCTAGTAGGGGGTCTAGTCGATACTAAAATCACCTAAATTGTAAAAAAACCTAGACCTACAACAAATATAACATGTTGTTCTGACAACATCCAACAAGAAACTCATAAAAGAAGTTAGACTTAAAAATCATATGCCTTCCACCATAATTATGAATGCTTCGTAGAATTTACTTTCTTGCTAAATGGTGCATGTTGCACATGTTATACTATTAGTAAAACTTGCAAGTCATAATGATTAGGTAGAGTTTCCAACCGCCTAGCTTATTTAATAGATACTTTTAGAAAAATACAGAAAATATTAAGGCATAAGGTTTATGGAGAAAGCAATATCAACTCAATCAACAACTAAAAGTATATGAGGAGAAATATACTTAATCAACAACTACAATTCAGTAAAGGTGAAATAATTTTATCATCAGACAACCAATAATATCACAAACTCAGATGAAAATAGGGCACGAGAACTGAGTTAGACCAATGAGAAAATAAATTAATTTGCAATGATTTCTAGTACAAGAATCAAAATCCTAAAACAGAGTAAAAAATAGACAAATCCAGTGACATAAAAACTCTACTCAAAAGAAACACAAAGCAAGTAATAGTAACCTATCTAAACAATGTTACCGACAAGGTAGCTACAATAGTAGTTTATTGAGCTTTATTTTCTCTTGATTTTATACCAATTCCAGATTCAGGAACATGAAAAGAGGGAAAATAGAAATGAAATTGGAAATTATGGCTTTTGATTTGTTTGCATGAAGATTATGGTTTTGATTGTTCACGTGAAGATTGGGAAAATGGCGAATGAAAACCAAGAGGTAAAATGAAAAGGAATGGAAGCTGGGAAAACAGAAAATATAAATAGAATTGGAATTTAGGGCTTTAGATTTGTTTAGATGAATATTATGGTTTTGATTGTTTAATTGAAGATTATAAAAAAGGTAAAATAAAAATAAAAAGATATATAAACTGGGAAAAGAAAAGGAATAGAGACTGGGAATAAAATGAAAATGAAGAGGAAAAAAATAGAGATGGAAAATGAAACTTTCAGGGAATAAAGAAAAGGAAAAAATAAGAGCAAAAAGTAAATATAGAATTTCACAAGAGCCTTATAGTAGGCATCAATATATCCCATTCTTGGTTGGAGGAAGCAGCGTCTACATTGCACTTTCAAATACTTGGGGTTGTCGATTGGAGGAAATCTGCGCATGGAAGGTTTTTGGAAACCGGTTCTAGACACGGTCATAAACATATTGTATGGGTGAAACCACAAGCACTTATCAATTGGCGGAAGAATTGTCCTATAGAAGTCTGTCTTATACGACCTACCAGTCTACTTTCTTTCTTTCTTTAAAGCCTCGTCAGGTATAATCTATAAACTTGAATCTCTCCTTAAGACTTTCTTATAGGGTGGAAGCTCGGATGTTAGGAAAATTAATTGGGTCCAGTGGGAGAAATTATGTCGTAAAAAGGAAGACGGGGTCTAGGTATCAAAAATCTTAAGGCCTTCAATCTAGCTTTGTTAAGGAAATGGGAATGAAGGATGCGTATGGAGAAAAACAACCTCTACTACAACATGTTAGAGAGTAAATATGGGGTTTGTAATGATGGTATTAATAGAGGGAAGGGTTCTCTCAACTTTGTGGAAAGACATTCAAAAAAATGAGAATGAATTATGGGGTTTTAATGTGAATTGGTTCTCAGGAAAGTTAAAATCTGAGCTTAGAAATTGCGAAAATGTTTGGCTCTGAGATAGAAACTCATACTCTGTAAAAGAGGCTTATAATTCTATTTTGGATGGAGTAGCTTAAGAAAACCATCAGTCTTTAGCTATTGCTTGGAACATCTTGGTCCCATCTAAGGTATCAGTGTTGGCCTGGAGACATTTCCATAATAAGATCCCTTCAAAGGACAACCTCATTAAAAGATGCATCTTGAGTGAGTCTCAATCTGGATGCTCGGCAAAGTGCGGAATGGCTAAAATCTCATCTCATCTTTTTTTTTCCTGTCCTTTTTTACTTTGTTGTGTGGCAAAAAAAACCTTTCATGGCTAAATATATCATCTGATTTACATATGTGCCATTGATTATTTAGAGTAATTCACTAGACTGCTTGGCATGGATAGAGTGAGGGATTACAGATCTTTAGTTATCTGGTTTGCTTGCATTTGGTTTATGTAGAAGAGTCGTAACGGAAAGATTTTCAGAAATTCAAACGGGTTGTTAGATGATTGGATTGATGAAATTCAAGTCTGGCTTGGAAGTGGTTAAAGTCTAAGTTAAAAAGCTTTAACTAATCCTTAAGCCAATGGATTTCAAACCCATTGGAATGCTTCTGAAGCCTTTTATCGCATATGTCCAGGGTGTATATTCATGTGGAGTTTGTCTGTCAATTTTATTTTGTTGTGGAAGGGGTTATGGTTTTAAATTATCTTGCAAGTGCTGTCACATATATGTTTTGTGGTTGGGTCTGATTTTATCATGCAATTTGTTTTTTGGTTGGGATGTTCGATTTAGCATATGTAATCATGCAGAGGTGTTATTTCGCGTCTGTAGCAGGTGCAGTTCTATGGAAGCAAAGTTTCAGACTCTGGTGGTTGTTCGGTAGTTCAAAGTAGTGCATCCCCCATGTTTACAGGCCTCTGTTTCTTAACATTCGATTCTAACTCAGGTCGGGATTTGGATGTCATTGGTTAGAGTCTAGAGTTGTGGGCTAGGTTTTGGTTTTCACAGTGCGCATTTGTCTTGTCGGCAGATCCGTATTTAGCCCCAGTGGACAATGCGATCCTGGTATAGTTTTTTATGTTTTTGATGATGGCTCAAGGTGAGGTTCGGCTTGTCTTAGTAGCCGGAAGTAGGTTGTGCGTGTTTTCTTCTCAGAGCATTTCAGTTGCACCAATGTGGAGTGTAACGTTCGGGGATAGTAGCATTATAGCGTATTATTTGGTTTGCGAGCATTTGGTCAATTTGGTAAAGGTGAAATGATTGCATTTTTAGATATTCTTGAGGACATTCTAAATTTAGATGTATAGTCGAAATCAAATTGTTATCTCAAGGCTAAGGAGAGAGGGTTCATCTTCCCTCTTTATCAATGGAGCTCAAATATTAAGGAATGTTTGGGTTGGAAGGTATAATTATTAGTTCAGAGGAGAGGGGGGTCGAATCTGTCAACAGTGTCAGTGATAATTGGCATCAATTTTCTTGTGGTTCTGTTTGTTTTGGTCTAGAATTTTCAGCTGGTTGGATGGATTAGGTGTTGTGTTTGTGTTTTAGTGTCGAGTAGCTTGGTGTTTCGTTCTTGCGTGTGTGGAGTGTCTTGTCTGCGGTAGATTTGTTAGAATTTTTAGTCGAAGTGTAGGCACTGTTAATAGGATCTACTGCTGCTGTTATCAGCGCATTTTGGGATCCTGCGTTTCCGGTGGTCTTCGAGCGGGTCATGGTTTCGATGTCGCAACATTTTAGTCTTTTCACATACTGATGCTTTTAATTTGTAGGGTGCAGTTTCCTACTTGCAGGGTCTGGTGTATGTTATTTCGGTTTTTGGTAAATTGGTTCAGGTGATGGTTTGTATTTTAATCTGGTGTCTGTATCAAACTACTTGTATTTGGACATTACTTATGCCTTGTAAATGCATTCATTGGCCTTTCAAAAAAAGAGAAATGAGACAGGGTTGAACTTGATGTCATCACCAAAGAGTCTCGTGTTTGAGACCTCTTCAGACCATATTCAATTTGTTTTTAAAAGGGAAAATACAGTAGTGTCAGCTAAACCAACGACATATAGTAAATGATGGGGATCTGTAACGTATAGCCTAAATATAGTACTGCAAGTGCACAGCCTATCGAAGTAATATATAAGATTATCGAACCACAGAGACCAATTGTCAATCTATCAACTCTATTGCTAAGGTGTTTATCTAAGGTGAACAAGAATATTGATGTGAGTGCAGTGCAACAAAGTAAATGAGCGAGGTAAATAACAGTTTAAAAGACAGGTTGGAATGTAAATCATGTAATCAGATATTGGTCCGGTCATGCGTAGATGAAACTACTTATGGGGCAGTATTTTCTATTGATAGCAAAGAATCAATTTAACGGGAACTTGTAGCTTTTGACTACTAAGAACCGAATTTACTCTTTAAATTAAATTCCTTTATTGTCACATATAAAGGGTGTCTTCCGCGTTAAAGAGGTAAACCTATTTTTAAGAAATTGATAGTTTTGACTTAACAGAAAAGTAATTTTACTTGGAAAGATTAACTTAAAGAGACTTTTGGCTTTTGACCAAGAGTCAGATTTCAAACCTACAAACGCGTCCGAAAATAGTTTCAAAATCGTTTTCTAAAAAGGTCAATGATTCCTATTTAACCAATCAACGGCTTTCGCTCTTTTTGTTTGGTTAAATAATAATCAAGTCGTATCATTAGTTTGGACGGCTTTCGATCTTACCCAATAAACATTTAAACATAATTGACTTAAGTTAAAAGCAAAACATCCCCAGAGTATTTTCACTAGCATGATAATTGGAACACGACCATGATGACAATCATTACATCCAAACCTTTATAGTTTAGCCAGACATAATAAGTGCGAGTCTATAAAACGTGTAGACTATGATAAGAGCGAGTAAGTAAAAGAGTGCGAGTCTATAAAATGTGTAGACTATGGTAAGAGCATTTAGAGTCTATAAAACGTGTAGACTATGGTAAGAGCATTTAGAGTCTATAAAACGTGTAGACTATGGTAAGAGCAATTATAAGTAAAGAAATGCAATAAAATAGAACCTTGCTCCAGTCGGAGACTTGAATCTGATACAAATCTGCGGAATGGTAAGGCTGGTATGATGAACTTCAACCAAAGTGCTCCAAGACTCGATTACAACTCAATCTACACCGCAATAACTCCCCGATGTGAAGAGATTATTACTTTACAGAAACTGATAGTATATGGCTTAAGATTGTACTAAGCTTGGATGAAACTAAAAAATGAAAATCGAAAACTATTTATAGAGGATCCTTGAGATGCGTAAAGACCAGCATGCCCCTCAACTTCTTATGAGCGGGAAACTTTTGTGAAGGCCGCGGGCGCGGTGGCAGTGGCCGCGGGCGCGGTGGCTGGAACTGCCAGATCGTGGGAACGTGGCAGTTGGTCTCTGGGTGAAAGTGGGCCACGTCATCGCGTTCCCTGTAGCCGGCGCGGCGCTGAACGCCATAAGTGCAGAATATCTTGAAAAACCCTAATTTCTTGGTGTTTTGGCTCGTTTCTTCACAGAAGGCTCTGAAATGACAAGAATCCTGAAAACAAAGGAAAAAGGAACATAATACGAGAAAATGATAATAAAAACTAAGGAAAACATGTGATATTTGAGTCAGAAACATAGTGCGATTTAGCGCGATCAAATCCTCCCACGCTTAGACCTTTGCTTGTCCTCAAGCAACAACTCTTAGAAGTAGATGAAAGAAAATTATGGTGTATACAGGTTTTGGGCAAAGAGGGCTTCTAAGTTCGAGTAAGGGTGTGTTGTCAGGCACTAACTATCTGAACCAAGGGTATCGTAATTACACTACTCGCAAAAATGCGGACATAAACCTCATAAGTATACAGATCGATCCTAATATCCTTACTATGCTAAGACTTCTTTTTGTACGAGGTCCTTTTTCATTCAGGCGCAATCACATTAAGCCCGTTATCCGTACATACTCATGGTGTAGTGACCGGTTAGTGACTCTGATCTCAAGTGATGGGATTCTGGTACAAGAGTTGGTTTAACCCCTTTTTATTTTACCCATTTGCAGTTGCGGGGGATCGGACCGTAGTCCGCCCTACCAAGTCCAACACCAGATACCTCTGGACCAACTACAACAGATGTGCCTTATATATATTTTTTTTCTTTGTTTTTATTAGTGCTTACAACTTTCTTGAGTTGAGTAATCTTTGTGAGGATCACCCAACTCGTAGTCGTATTCATACTTTATTTTATAAACTTTTAAGGCAAAATAGAGATCATCCACTTATATTCATCGATCCTACACTTAGAGCATGCTTAGGCCGGAGCTGACTGCTAAGATAAACTACTTGAAGACCTATTTGTACAGTTTTATTCAAAATCATAGCATATTGGGAAGAAAGGATCTAATCTAAATGTTCAAAAAGGCTTACGGTGTTAAAACGATAACGAATTTTTCAAAAAGTGAGTGCCCAAGAAATAGACCCTATCTAGGACCTGTCTCATAGCCCAAATCCTTAAAAACAAC